GTTCTAGACTAAATGTGAATGTGCATTAATTCATCCCACTCACAAAAAACAGATTTAGTATTCATCAAAATGAATTAAAACAGTGAAATGCAAACTCAGAATATGACGCAAATCTGCAATAATTAAATATGTTAAATAATATTAAATAAGACCTTCAATGATCTAATTCAACCATACTAATAAGCAAAAATGACACACTTGTTATTGCTGAATAATGTTGAACTTTCTTCTCCTGCGTCATATTCTTCATGCAATTTGTTTGAGCTGCGCCTTCATTTCACTTCTGTTGTGAAAAGAGCTTTTACATTTGTAAAAGAAGAACTTTTTATATTAAAAACAAACAAGCAAGCCCTGCCCAGATTTAAAAAGTAACTAAAAAGTAACGTAACGCATTACTTTCCATAAAAAGTAACTAAGTAACGTAATTAGTTACTTTTTTAGGGAGTAACGCAATATTGTAATGCATTACTTTTAAAAGTAACTTTCCCCAACACTGTCTGGGACAAAACCACAAATTGTTTAAATGAAATATTCACTTCAATCCTATACAGACTTTCAAGCTCCTTTAAGCTCTGAAAACAAACTTGCCAGCAAGTAAACTCCACAAAACGAATGGTTCAGTTTTTCACTTCACTCATAAACTGAAATAAACCGTCTGTGTTTTATTGTCAGAGTCTCAAAACCACATTCAGAGACCAGCTTTTAAAATGACACCATGCACCTGCAATCATTGCAACTTCTTCACGCCAAATACACACACACACACACAGTTTACTAAACGTTATACATTTGCTGTCACGCGAAGAGTTAGCAACACACTTAAAAACAGAATTAAGTTTCACACTTCATAGTGATAAAATGCTTTTCGCACTTACAAATGTAAACACATATCCACTCAACAACAAACACACAACTACTCATTGTATCAAATTACACACTTGGAACAAAGATAACAAAAACAAACCTAAGTGGGAGGAAGGAGCAATTTTAAGGAATTCATTAAGAGAAAACGAGAGGGAAATGCTGGGTGCAGAGTATAGCATGAACCAAACAAGGCATAAAACAGGTGCGCGTTCTCTCATGACAGCTCTGTAAAGGGGTGTCTTTGGGATGTAATCAAATATGAAATACTTTTCACACACAGAGAAACACCGGTGCTACTATACAAGCCAAAGCCTCTGTGATAATGAGAGCGTAGACTCGGCTGCTGTATCATTTCTCTCGGCTGTTAGCTCAGCGGTGCGCTAACTTCTTACCGTCATTTTATGTGCCAAAGCTAAAATGGTGTAGTAATCATAGCATCTGGTGGTGGATAAAGATCTGGGCTGGTAAACCAAACTATAGAAGTGACGATTTATCAGCTGGAGAGTGGTGTCAAACACTAACATGACCTCTGTGAACTCGGTGACCTTGTAGGCACTCAATCTCATTTGTCAACAGTAATATAAGTGGTAAATGTGCTGCATGCCACTTTGGAAATAGCTAAATAATCAAATCTTAACTTAAACACTAACAAATCCATAACCAATAAATGGCCAGTATTGAAATTCTATACTATTTTGTGTAAATAAATAAAAAACAATGCACTAAAATCGCTCATGGCATCGCATTATTATAATGTGCAGTTTGAAAAATGGATATTTATTTTAAAATTTGCTACATTACATTTAACAGTGTTATTACATTATAAAAGATTAACTTTAATTGTGTGTTAGATGACAGTAAAGATAACATAAAAATAGAAGTACTGAGATGCACAATTAAATGAAATAAAAAAAAATATTATTAAATTCAATATCGATCAATACTGATAAATGGAATCAATCTCTAAATGGCGGTATTGATATACAGTGCATCATTTTAAACATTATTTAAATTGTTTAAAAAAATAAAACATTTAAAATCTATTGTATTTTAACATCAGAATGTTTTATTTGCTAAATAAAACCCAGACAACCAAGCAAATTCGTGAAATACTTGATGGCTTCGTTGGTATTTAAAGCTAAAAAGATAAGCACAGTGTTGATCAAGTGCTGGATCCTACACTAGATAGATGATAAATAGATGACTTTGAACTTCTTGTGTTGAGAAAAAGATCATGACACCTGCATCTTAAAAAAAAGATAAACCTCATGCACACCTGTGCACGCACACATTGCATCGCAGACAGAAGGCCTGAACTTAAAGTTATCAGATGGCCGCTGGGGCTAAACACAACAGGTATGAGGAGAACGATCATTTCAGCTGTCACAAAGAGAGAGCGGTGGTGACTTTTGCAGGCCCAGAATCAAACTGCCAACCATTTAATATGGTCTCTTTCTATTAGTGTTCGATTACACTTCTAAAAAGGAGAAAGCTTGGTTGTCATGCCCTTTAAATGTCAGTTTTAGGCCTGCTCAAGTGTTCAGCCTGCTGGAAATCATTTTGTCTTGGAATGGTGAGGGAAATGAGTAGCACAGGGCCGAAACTCTATCTGACTGCAGCAGTTTGGAGCCGCACACAGTGCCAAACTGCTAAATTTATATTTATTTGAGTTTAGACTGTTGAAGCAGTCAAGGTTTTTGAATATATCCAGAGATATTCCAAGACATTTTGGTCTCTTAACAAAAATGTGGCCAGCATCATACATCAGGACATCATTTAAGACAATTCATCAAAGTAAAATGTTTTGTTGTTTAAAAATGGAGCAGATCTGTGTTTTGTGTGTGGTTTATGTGAGTGGATTTAGCAAGACCTTTTAGCTTTAAAATGGATGATTTTACAAAAGTATGGTTTACATATAACAACACCAAGCCTGTGACAATGGAGGTCTGTAACCTTTTCAATGCATGGATGAGTTTAGCAGTATGATGTATGAATATTTTATTGTGCAGATGAACATTTTACGCTCATGTACAAGCAGCCCTGCCAAACTAATTTATCTAACTCTGACCCTGCACACACCTTAATGGATAGTTCACCCAAACCTGAAAATTCGGTCATCATTGACTCACCTTCATGTTGTTCCAAACCTGTATGACTGTCTTGCTTCCACAGAACACAAATTAGGATATGTTGTGTGCTAATAAAAAAATAAAATAAATATCAGTACTGATATACTGTGCATCATTATTTCAAACACTAAATCTATTGTAATTTTCTGTACAAAAATGAAAATCATTTACTCACCGTCATGTTCTTTCAAACCTGTATGACTTTCTTTCTTCTGTGGAACACAAAAGAAGATATTTTGATGTCTCAGAGTTTCTTTGTCCATATGCTGAAAGTCAGTTGGGTCCAATGTTTTTTGGACTCCCATATTCTTCAAAATATCTTATTTGTTGTGGAAATTTAAGTTATGGTTACCGAGAACCCAACAGTAACACATGCTCAGACTGTCTCCATGGAAGACTATATAATCATTTGTGTATGTATGTGTATTTGTGTGCGTGTGTTTATAGGCACACACCACAAGTCGTGCAGGCTTGCTTGCCTGCCCCATGAACCCAGAAAATTACACACACCATCGGTGCACAAGAGAATGTTTTGGATTCACTCAAAGAAAAAATATCCCAAAGGCTTTATGTAGGTGTGGTTCAAAAGACAGTTAAATGATTATCACTCACCTTAGGGCATGTTAGGAACTTATGAAACTTCATGACCTTTCACTGTGCCTTCACCTCTGCTGAGAGAATAAAAGAGATTTGCTAAGTTGGATTTTTTAGACAGGTGTTATCTATTTTTTTTTTCCATCTACTCTTTGACCTGTGTGTGATCTCTGTGGTGCTTCTCATCCCTGTTCTTACCGTTTTAGGTATACATGGCCCTCATCCAAGTTCGTCATAAATGTGGTAAACTTCCCCATTCTTTCAAAAGTCAGCAACTGCCACAAGCAAATTGTTTCATTAAACATGTAAACTCAGTTTACAAAGAGTGATCGTGAGTGACAAGTTGATGTCAGGTATTGGGTGCGTCAGAATCAGGTGTCACATTCCACATACCGTGGCGAGGTCACCTTGCCAATTTCACAGTTCAAATTAATTAGCAGGGATGTTCTCTTTGTCAAGCACTGTATTTAAGTCTGTATACAATTAATAAGCAGAATGGGGAAATCAACTGTGGTTAAAGTCCAGCAATAACTGCTTATCATATACATTAAATAATGTTTTTTTTTTCTGGTGATATAATCAAAGGCCATGATAAATCAAGAAGTTGCTAACAACATCTTTCACTATTTGTGAGGGCGTTTTAAAAAATGTCTCTCACAAGTACAGCCAAACGTGTACATTCGCATGTAGTTTTCTATCATGCTAATGATTTTTTTTTATACAGACATCTTCTGTTTTATACTAATGAACTAGAAACCTTTTTGATAGCCTACATTGAGTGATTCTCACAATGTAGGTGATTTCAGGTTTTTCTATCCTTGATTATCGTTGAGTTATTTAAATGTTACATACAAATATATAATATGAACTGAGAACCTTCAAATATCATCACAAGTCATTTTTGAGGACTCATTTCCTAAAATTGGACCCTCATAGTATAGGCAAATGTACACACACACAATGGTTTCACTATATTTGTGAGTATATTTTCATACATGCAACTGTTTTTATGAGTTTTCATTTACAGGTTGATGATGTACAAGAACCCACATGAACTTAAACCTCACACAAACCTGTTGACATTATTAAATTTAAAGCACAACAAGACTGAGGCTATTACATACTTAGAACCACTTCAACAATACACAGAATTCAATTTGTCCTTACGGCTCCTAACCTCTCACGCACTATCCGTACAGTTACGGGGACAGGTGAGCATCTCTATAAGGCATCTCTAAAGCCTTAACTCGCGTGAATGCGTTTGTGATTGATAGGTCTAGCCACTAAGCCCCGCCCTCGTGGGCCGTCCTTGCCGAGCGATTATATTAACGCCCGCCGGTGCAGTTCGTTATCCCATGAGGACTTTTTATCCGATAGGAAGTGATCATTCTTGTTTCTTTAATAGAATTCGACATTAACTAAGACTGAGCACTCCCAAAACTGTTGATCAAAACAAAAAGTATTTTTTCAAAAAGCTACTCAGTTTAAAGCGACAGAGGCGCCTTACAATGAAGTTGGAGGTTTTCTCTGCGAGTCGCCTTGCGGACAAGCCGCTGGACCTGTGCAATGATATGGATGTGAACGTGGCTTCCCCGCTGTCCACGGAGGAGGAATTGGGCTCGGATGGAGACTGTTCAGCCAACAGCCCAAGACCAAGTGCCCCCGTTTCGGACGGGAAGGCGAAACCATATACGCGTAGACCCAAACCACCATACTCCTACATCGCGCTCATTGCTATGGCCATACGCGATTCCAACACCGGCCGCCTCACACTTGCTGAAATAAACGAGTACTTAATGAAAAAATTTCCGTTTTTTCGGGGCAGCTACACGGGGTGGCGAAACTCCGTACGGCATAACTTGTCATTGAACGACTGCTTTTTAAAAGTGCTGCGAGATCCCTCGCGTCCGTGGGGAAAAGACAACTATTGGATGTTGAATCCACACAGTGAATACACTTTCGCAGACGGCGTTTTCCGCCGGAGGAGGAAGCGCATCAGTAAGAAGATCCTGAGCACCTCGCAATCTCAAGAGCGCGCGCCTGCGGATGACAGCCGGCTCCCAGCGCGAGACGAAAAGTCAAAGTTTTCCAGTTCCTTCGCCATAGACAGCATCCTCAGCAAACCGTTTATGCGGAGGGAGCAAAGCACAGAGGACACGTGTTTTGGTACCAGGCTAATGTTGTCAGCGGCCCCGCACTTTCTGCCTGTCGTCATGGGCTATCCGCCGTCCGCCGTGGCTCATGCGCCGCAGAACGGATTCCAGGTCAGCTCTGAGGTGTCGAATGCCTTTCCAATCTACAGGTGTAATACGGCGGACATTACTAGCATCAGTCGAATGCCGGGCATACCGAATTCCCTTCCGGGTTTGGCACACTCCCACACTACTGTACAAGAGACTAAATATCATCCCTTCAGAATAGACTCTCTGCTGTCATGAAATGACAAGTGATCAAGCCAATTTGCACACATTCACACGCTTAAACGCAATTTCTTTGGTGTTTGACACACCAGTTATGTGCACTTTCCTCTGTTAAATGGTGTGTTTTAGGCCTATGTGTGTTTTCGTGATTTAAACCCATGCACAATACTTAGGCTACTGCAGTGCTGCATGTTTGCTGTTTAGATGTCTTCTTAGATGAATCAATGCCGCGCCAGTGTACAGTGTTTACCGATTCCATTTTAATTTCTTGCAAACGATGGCATAACCATGCCAATAATTATGGACATAATGTGATGTCTACTTCTTTGAAAAATTGTGTTGGGTTATACTTGTACCGTGTTTTATGTCTGTGTAAATATGATGGTTTGTTTAGAGCTGTGCTCAGTCAGTTGAACAACATATGCAGTTGTACTTTCGTTAATAAAAGAAAATATGAGAGAATACAATTTTTCGTTCATTATTCTTCGGAAACCGTACTTTAAGTGTCACTTGGATCATTAGACATGTCACTAGATCCTGTTTTCTTCACTAACTTACAATGATTCTGACTTAGACTCTTGCGGAAATCTGTGCTACCAAATGCAAAGGCAGTAACTACGCAAACACTGAAAATCTTGACTGATTTACAATTTCTAAGCATTAAACAGTAACAAAAATACACAGTCACCAAACGACAAATATAACAGCGAACAGAAATCGCGGTCGCCGGAGATGGTAACCATGGCAACCGTTGCCGCTCGAGTATTTTCCATTAGGATAAATATCAAACCACAGGCTACATAGCTAGACAAAACATAGTCTAATTATTATCATTATGCATCCCGTTATTACTGACTCGCTTACATAGAAATGATTTACTGATTCAAATAATCACAAAAAAATGTTAATTTAACACCAGTCTTGGAGATTGCACTGTTAATACAAATACCTTAAAAATAGTTGACCCCTTGTATAGCCTAATTCGCACACTGCTTACATTTCTCATTCACGTTTTTCATAACGTGAAATTACAAGGTCTATTCACTGATAAACAGACCACGTTTCAGGAAACTCGTGATTCCTAAACAGTTTCTCTTCAAATGATTGCAGAAAATTCAACACATATGCCTTCAAGCATGAGTCACTGAAGCTGAAGCCACGCATGCACTCGCCAAATAAAAGTTGAATTTTGTCAAAGTTGGAATTAATGGAAACGACGCTTTTTGGCAATCACGTCAACTGAAGCATTCAAATTCATAAAACAACAACAAAAAACTATGTCTAGTTTATCCAGAAATATTTCTATATTTCAGTTCATATTTACGTTAGGCTACGTTATGTTTATCATTCATTAATATCGCTAATATAATTAATATCATAAATTAATAGGCTATCGTTAATATCTAAGATGTTTATTTATGTAGGCCTATTTATTTATTCATTCACTCATGTTGTTATTGTTGTTGTAGCCTATTATAAATTGAATACAATCCTAGGCTACAGGCCTACCTTTATAATTAAAGCAAATGGAAATGCGCCCGGAAATGCAAAATAAGCTTGACCTCATGGGTTAGTTGGTTACAATTAGTTACAAACCTTAAACATAAGTCAACAACAGACCAAATTTGCCTCTCAAAATAAAAACTACTCTTTTACATCCATATCTATCTATCTAGCTAGCTATCTAGCTATCTAGCTTGCCGTTGACAGAAATGAATTAATCAGCAAACATATCTACAATGTTTGCAGATGAATTGACTTCCACTTGAAATCACACAATTACAAAAGCCATACATGTTCGGTTAAACTCCAGCAATCTCACACCTGGATGGAGTCCACGACAAAAGGACAACCACTTGGACATGTAGCAAGATATGAATCATTAAACAGAATATAACGAAATCTAAGCAGTTTTTACATTTCTTATTAATATACATTTTATTTTGTGAATTGTGGGTATTTTTTTTTATCATGACAATGTTATTTATTTATTTTGCTAGTCTCAAACACTAACATATTTTGCGCTGTCCGCGGTACTGAAGCAGGGCCATCGTTTTCTTTTCGATTTTAGTCTTTAGTCACACCATCTCCTTGGGTTGACAGCCCTGTCATTTTCAGGTCAGGGAACGAGCCTGATTAAGAGCAGACCAATTGTCCGAGGATTGTCTTGCTTCAAGATAGGCTATCGTCTTTACTCCCCAGTGAATGAATGAATGAATGAATAAACGAATTAATTAAATAAGTACTAATTAATTATTAATTTACGAATGAAGAGAATGTTTTGTTGAATAAAGCGCCAAAGCAAATCCACAATCGGCAAAAAATAAAAACTGATCAAAGTTGAGAGAATTCGATGCACTCGTGGATGGTCGCACGTTATTGCACTATAATATAGGCTATAGCCAAGGAAAGCTCACAATTTTATGTAGGCTACTTTTGTGGTTATGGCACGTAAAAACAGCAAATAATGCATTGTCTGGCTTTCAACCTTTAAATGCTTACTTTTTTAAATGCTTGCCATTTAAGTGCGATGCTGCAACCTGCAGGTGAACTCGCGGAATTACACACCTGTCTATATAAAAACCGTTAGCTGAGAATTCAAGTCTATTAGGATCACTTCAGCTGCAAAGAAGCGCTCATTCGTATAGGCTATGAAAATACAGACTTATCTGGAAACCACGTTAAATAAACATACAGGCCAATGGAGGGGTTATCTACAGAGAAAAATTCAAGGCAAAAATAAAAATGTTTAAACCAAATTAATTAGCATACACATGACAATATACGAAACGAAATATTCGAAATACATTACAGTGTATTTATACCAAGTAAAATACATTTCTTCTGGTGTCACTAATTTCCAGTGCAAGCACTGACATCGAAACGAATTTACCGCACAGTAAAATATGCTTTTAAACAAGGATTTTGTTTACATCGATTTAACACCAAAAACCAGCGAGCTTTAAATAAAAAAATAAACTTAAGTTTACAAATTTCGTGGGTTGAATTTTTCAGTGTGTAAAGCTAATGGCTTAAATAATATGCCTAACATTCTTCAACAGAACAATACGTCTTTAAACAGGCAATGACCTAGAACGTAACTATGATACAATAATTATAAACAATAAAAAAATAAAGCATCAACGGATAAAATATGTATAATTTTCACTGTTATAATCTCTAATAATAAGTCTATTAATATTCTTACTGTCTATTTTGTCTTTCAAAATATTTTTAATTGTTAGCGCCCTCTTTCTCTAACAATTTAAAGTACACTAAATATTTCTGTTTATTGTGTCTGTGTGTCAGGTGTAAGTCTACTTTCTTTAAATGAGATACTTACATTTTTCTGCCACTTCACATCAAGCAAAACATGATCTCAGATCAAGGGGTGACTGGAGCCTTTGATGCGTATAGGCCTATGCGTTTGACAATGAATAAAGTCATAAATTTAGTTTACAGTGGCTCAATTAGGTCTGTAATGAAAATAGATGCGCGACGCTTTATTACGCACATACACTCATAGCGATGGCCTGTGTTCAAAGTCTCGTGCAGAGCTCGGTTTCCTCTAGAGCAGCCGCGGGTATACCCGGGACTCGGCGGGGGTCAGGCGCTCAGCGGGCGGGGGAAACCCGGCGAAATACTGCTTATATAGCGCGGGAACATGTTTTTATCCACACCCTCACGGAAAGCTAAAACTAGGGGATTGTTGATTCGCTTTGTTCAAAAGAACACTTAAAAGAGTCGGGGCGGGTGATTAAAAAGGGAGGGGAAAAAGAGCGCGAGAGATAACATATCCCGTGCCATTTATGTAAAAAAAAAAGACCGCCAGGAGCCATAATGCTGTATTTGTTGTCTATAGCCTAAATATAATGCTGCTTATAATACCATAAATAATAATAAACCGTAAACAAATAATATTAATCATATTTTCAATATGAATTAAAAATACGAGGACTAATAAAAATGCAGAGGCGGATCTCACAATTCGATTAAAAATATTCTGCTGATCGACTTCAATGTACAAAGTCAGTCAGTAAAATCATAGATAGATAGATAGATAGATAGATAGATACAATGTAATTTTCTTTGGTCTGTTTTATGTTCCTTTTAACTTTATACATTTTTTTAAAAAGCAGTAACAGGCGATTTATGCGCATAAATAATTAGAATGAGCCTATGTTTTTAAAAAGTAGGTAGGCATAGGCTACCTTAATAACATGTAACAAATGTAAGGAAATATGCATGTTTACGTCTGTATAAATAAATTTATATTCATACTGGTCTATGAAGACTGCTGTGACCCTTCTTTGCTGGCGGAAGCTGTCGACGTCCAAGTGGCTAATTGGCTTTTTCTTTTGCTAATGAAGGCTGGACTCAAGGGATGTGCTGTAGCCCCGGGCCCGTAAGCTGATACTGGAGCGCTGTGTGTGGTATCCAAACCTCTCGACAGAGACAGCCTGCTTCCACTCGAGCCAAAGTCATTCCTCTCTTTCCCTCTCCCTTGCATGTCTGTCTTTCGCTGATCACTGCCTCCCTCATTTTATGGTATGGTTTATTTATTTGAATCCTGCTAGGTTTGTTAAGGCCTCTCACGCTCATTGAGTGTTTGTTCATATTGACAGCCCTCCAAGTCCATTAGGCTATACGAACCCATCCGATTAGAATTCGAGTTGCAAATGCGAATTTCACAAAGTAAACACGATTAGCCCTTCAGCTCACTCGATAAGCTAAGATAATCTTTATTCAAAATCATAATTCTGTTATAGCCTAGGCCTACCTAACTTTATTCTCATAAAGCGTGCAACACTGACTGACTCATTCAGCCGAAATGGCCAAATAATATTTTATAAATAAACCAAAAGAATAAGCAAGCTTAAGCCAAAAAAGATGATGATAATGATGAGAGACGCGATGTTTGTGGTCGCATATAGCGATAGAGAGGTGGTCAGTTGATTTTGGTGGACAGTGTGCATGAGGTTCTGGAAAGAGAGACAGAGTTGAGTTTGTGGAGGTCTAGGGGTTTGAGGGGGTGGGTGAGGCGGAGAAGGAGGAGCAATTAGAGGAGAGAAAGCCGGAGAGAGTTATTGAGTGATTGGCTGTCGAGTTTTGTTTAGTTTTCTTTCCATTTCTTCCTCAAAAAGGGACTACAGCCGCCAGGATCAGGACGGAGTTCGTGGCAGAAAAAGAACCGCTTCAAAACGTTGATAACGACTACGAATAGGCATATTCCTTGGATAGTTTCTCTCACAAAAAGCAGGATATTGATCACAACGTTAAAGCCTGAAAAAGAAGACCGTTAAGTTTGCATAGGATGCTTGGTTAAGTTAGCATACGTTTTCAGCTAAAGCGTAGCGTTTATGCTCTGTTGCTTCCTTGAACCTGGTTTATTGGCTTTCGAATATTTCAGTCTTTGGGGTTTTGCTTAACCTTGTTCTTCTGTCAACGTCAACGTC